ATTGAATGAACTATGACCCGTACAATCTCGATTTGCATATTGTCAATCAAAGGTCCTGTTATTTGGTTACTCATGCAAATTAGGCAATTGGACATAAACATTGCCACGTGTGAGTGTTTTTTATTTTTAACCAGAAAATAAACAGCAATTTTAACGGTGTTCCAATAACAATTCATTGGTTAAATTTTCACAGAATGTTCTTTAGATAAAAATCTATATAAAAAACGAAAAAAACTATTTTTGATTGAAATTCACAAATAAACTGCATCTCTACCTTAATAAAAGTACCCTTACCAGTACATTTATTTGCTTTGGTTGGTGTGATGCAAACATGACCATAATTTTGTTATGCAGTTATATTTGTTATTAGATCTTAGGCCAGACTTTTTTTATTCCTTTATTCCTTCCTTGTCAATTTTGTTGAGGAGGGCAAAAAAAAAAAATTTATTCTTTTTTTTCATTAGATTTGTGTGATTCTCAAAGAATTGTAAGTGAGATCATTGATCGGAGAGAAGAAATGAAATTTTTTTTTATTGTTGCCAATTATGGCACAATTTTCAGCATTAATGAGGGATTTCTCGTTTTTTGACAACAGAGTTTCACGGCGTGTCACCACAAACTACGCCGCCGCCATGTTCACCTAGTAGTCTCAAGCAGCACGCAGAGAGGTCAATACCCGAGATTCACTGTCAACCAACGCGCATAAATTATAGATCATGATAATCCTATGAAAATGCAACTTGGATTTGTTAGGCGGTGGACGGTGGACGTAAAAAAAATTTAGATAAAAATAATTTAGCAATTTTTGGCACTCACAAGTCGGCAGGCGCGAGAAATTATGCTGAAATAAATTTTTATTTCATTTTCGGCTCTTGTTCATTCGGCGGGTTCGCAAAACAAGGGATAATAAAAGTCTGGCCTTATGGACTGCTTTGATATTCAGTCATGTTGATTCATTTTATTCAATGATATCTGCAAATTTTTTTAAAAATTTTTCAATGAAAAATTACATTTCAACATATAAAAAAAAATTCAAAGTTTGTTTCTCAGATTCACTTTCAGCGATTTTGTTCAAATTTGGTACAAAGGCAAGCCTTATTACTTCCATATCTTTGCAGATGAAGGTAAAATTATACAAAGGGAAAATGTCTGTTCTTCTGTTGACTCTATTGTAAATCTTTTTATTGTGGTTGCGATATTATCATAATATTAATATTTGTAATTCTTCATGTTTGTGATTACAGCAGTTTCTGTTGTGTTAATCGGGACCTTCGTCGCGACCCACTCGGCTCGTGTCAAATCACGTTCATATACCTATGTTTATCCTTGTTGAACTGTCAACTTGAAACAAATTGTCCTCTTTTCTCCATTTCATGTGTACTTCCAAGTTCACTGCCACTGCATGATTTTGGTTCCTTCAAGTAAGTGCAGAATATATAAACATTTACAATACAGAGTATTTTCTGCACAACATTTTGTATAGATATGTTATTGTATTGTTTTAAGAATTTTATTCTTATTTTTGCCATGCAAAGAAAAAATTGTACCAAGTGGCAAGTGCATCCACACTGAATTCTTACTCATTATTAAATATATTGGTTGTTATAGTTATAGTACCGGTAATGCCATGTTTAAAAATACTGTAACAGGGTTAATTATTCACTGGGTTTTAATTTTGCTTATTTCGCTGACTGGAAAATGTGCTAAATTGAAACCCAGTGTATATGTCAAATTTAGCATAGAACACATTATCTAAATGATAGAACCATGAATTTAAAACCCACTAAATACGCCTGAAATGGTAGATCAGCGAAATTTAAACCCAGTGAAAATTAGTCAATTTACAGTACTGAGTAGTTTATTGTCATACCACATTTCTAGGAATTTGTAATACATCACATTATATAATATTTTTGTCTTTATTATCACTAGGTGGTGACAGTGAGAGTCTTAGGACAGAAATGGATGTAACATCACGCAAGCGCAAAGCCATTTCAACACAAGCTGCTTTAGAAATTTTGTGAGTTTCCAAATTTTATTGAAGTGCATGATATCGTATTCTAAATGTTAGTTTAATATTCCAACTGATATTGTCAGTGCTAATTCTATTGAACTCTCCTAATTAGCTAATACGTGTATCGCAGGAACACTTCGGTGTTAACCCAAAGGGACTACCTTAAATCACAGTCCCTATATAGGCCGGCCTGGAAACGGTCCGTATTTCTTTGAAACAGTGCCCATCGCGGGTAAATAAACAATTCATTAGCGTTGTTTTTGATCCTTCAGAGCTGGATTGCGGCCATGTTAATATGCCCAGAATGCAAAGCGCCTGACTTTGAACACATGCGTAGTGCATAGACATCGTTCCGGTTCTCTTTAAAACCAAAACATTGAAACCATGCCATGGAAAGTAATCCCGACTGGCTATATAGTTGTATAAAGTAGCCCCTTCGGGTTATGGTTTTCAAATGGGCTACCTATGCAACTTTATTGTCAGTCAGGATAAAATTCATAACCCGAAGGGGCTAACTAATACGAATATATTGCCAGTCGGTATCAAATTCATACCCCAAAAGGACTACATTATTCAAATACATTGCCAGTCGGTATCAAATTCATACCCCAAAAGGACTACCTTATTCAAATACATTGCCAGTTGGGATCAAATTCATACCCCAAAGGGACTACATTATTCAAATACATTGCCAGTTGGGATCAAATTCATACCCCAAAGGGACTACCTTACTCAAATACATTGACAGTCGTGATCAAATTCATACTCCATAGGGACTACCTTATTCAAATACATTGCCAGTCGTGATCAAATTCATACCCCATAGGGACTACCTTATTCAAATACATTGACAGTCGTGATCAAATTCATAACCCAAAGGGGCTAACTTATACAAATATGTGGTCAGTCAGGATAAAATTCATGACCAAAGGGACTACCTTATTGCCAGTCGGGATCAAATTCATGACCCAAAGGGACTACCTTATTGCCAGTCGGGATCAAATTCATTACCGAAATGAACTACCTTATTGCCAGTCGGGATCAAATTCATTACCGAAACGGACTACCTTATACATCTACATTGCCAGTTAGAACTACTTTTTCTAAATGTCACCTTTGTGTATGTTTGCTTTTCTTGAACTTATACATATTGGTTCCTGCATGTATGTTGTTCTGGATCAGTGTTACTGTCTCAAACTTTTAGTTTTAGGCTTAATCTCAGTGACGTCTTAGAGGTACGTAAATTATTGACTTTATCCAAGAGTGAGATAATTCTCTCTCTGTCACCAGCATTACATATCGCTATGTACTAATCCGTCTCATGGAATTATGTTTCTATAGTGACAGTGATGATGATACAAGTAGTGTGAGTAGTCCTCATGATGATGCTTCTTCAAAAAAGTATTCAAGGTAGACATTTATGTTATATTCTTGTGTATAATTTCAAAAAACAAGATTACAATGGTTGCAGTACACCTACAGTATGAACTTCTCCTCTGACGAAAACCAAGGAACTTTGAATGTTTCAAGACTTAAATTGTTTCTAGACACTACAATGTGAATGTTGATCAAAATGTTAGATATGATTTTTACCTATTCTATTTTATTATTATAATGATATCCAATATATTAACTATATTAATTCAGGAAATTCTATTCTATTGCTACGTTCACACGACAGCATTTTATCGGAGCCCTACGACTCGAGCCGGCTTGAGCCAGCAAAAATGGCTGTGTATACGCATTCATCTTGAGCCAAGTTCGGCTCCAATAAACCCTCAGGATTAACCTCCGATTGAGTTGAGCCCCAACATGGCCTGGCTGTTTATACGCAGATCAGATCCAATGAAAATTGAAGACACTGTTTTTTAGCTCCGCTGTCGACTTTGTCGAGCGGAGCTTAGCATATGAGTGATTGTCCGTCGTCGTCGTCCGTGTCAATGTTTTACTTTTTCGACTTCTTCTTGAAAACTACAAGCCTGAATGCTTTGATACTTGGTGTATATGTACCTTGGGTAGACCTCTCTCAGATTTGTTCATTTCATGATGATATCTTCAATTCTCTAATTTTGGTGAATATTTTTGTCATTTTTAGTAAAAAGTGATATTTTCGACTTCTTGTTGAAAACCGCAAGTGCAATTGCTTTGATATTACATATATAGGTACTACATGTGGACCTCTCTCAGATTTGTTCATTTTGTAATGATATCTTTAATTCTCTAATTTTGGTGAATATTTTTGTAATTTTTGGTAAAAAGTGATATTTTCGACTTCTTGTTGAAAACCGCAAGTCCAATTGCTTTGATATTACATATATAGGTACTACATGTGGACCTCTCTCAGATTTGTTCATTTTCTAATGATATCTTCTGTTCTTTAATTGCCATGTGCATTGCTAACAGCGGAGCTATCTCAGCCGACAGGCTGCTTGTTTTCATACTAATTATTTGGCACTGTTCCGTTAGGCTCAGACCAAACTGAATTAAACTATGGCAGATCTCAGCTCTCGTTCGGCTCCCGACCGTATGAACGCATAAACGCATTGGAGATAATCTCCTGTTAATCGGTGGGAGGAGCATTAGTTCGGCTCCGGTAGAATGTTGCTGTGTGAACATAGCATATGTGTTAGCGAAGTCTCATGAAAATAATATTTTTAATTGAAGTATATTATTTGGTAAAATGTTCAAAAGGTTAATCATATTTATAAATAAAAATCAAATTAAGAGAATGTCTGATAACAAAGAAAAAATGAGGATAGCTAGTGTATTGAATTCAATAGTTAAACAATTTTATATCAAGTTTGCAAATTTTTGTTGTGGTACCTATGATAAATGTTAAGATATATAGGCAATACACAACACCTACATAGAGGATGTCTAATATTCATACAACACACATTTTCAACTATATGCATATCATTCAGGCCATATGACAAATACAAAGATTTTTGACAAATACAAAGAAATTTGCAAAAAAATTATTAAATAACAATTATGAATAATCATGTTTATTTGTTCTTTAAAGGCAAAACCACAGTGAGATTGAGAAGAGACGTCGTGATAAAATGAACAGTTACATTACTGAGCTTTCTGGCATGGTTCCAATGTGTAACACAATGTCCAGAAAACTAGATAAATTAACTGTTCTTAGGATGGCAGTACAACACATGAAAACTGTTAAAGGTAATGTTGATAATTGAATTTTTTTTTACCTGATTAGCTTTCCTGACCAAACATTTTGTCGCTTAGAAATTAACAGGTGGGTGGGTAGGCTGGTTAGATGAATTGATGGTTTGTTTGGGTGGGTGTGCAGTTTGATGGGTAGTTTATTCAACTGGGCATGTGGGTGTGTAGCATTATTTGTGTTAATTGTTATATATTATTTCATGTCTGTTCCTTGACTCAAATGTTGAAACATTATTTGTATTCTATTCTGTTCTGTTCTGCGTACCTATATACTGTAAAATCTGTATTAGAAGCTGCGGTGAAGTTTCGGTTCTCAATTGTTGTTAAAAAAAAATGGCTTGGCGGCTTCTATCAGAGATGCGCTTCTAATACAGATTTTACGGCACATGTACTTGTATGTTGTTTTGTTTGTGTTTGCTTAAGGCCGCATCGACTTAATTTTATGGATGACAACCGTGCGCACATTAGTTTTCGCCTGTTCTCAAAAAAAAAAAAAAAAGTCTCCGATGATGAGTCTCCACAGATCGGTTTTCTGCCCAGAATATGCTGACTCATATTGTCACAAAGCGCCGGCTTGTCATAAAACTAGTTTTGGACTACCTCAAAACGTGCCAATTTTGTCATAAATGATATGTGAGCATGAAAGTTCAGAGGAAAAACGGAGGGGTTGTTGTAGATTGGTATGCAATTGACATTGGCCAGGGAGATGTGACGTTTACACAGCTATACGAGAGATTGGTAGCGGCAAACGAGTTTCGCCCAGACAACTTTAAGGACATATTGTCCAGAGTGGCTGTCTCGCGTTTCTTCTGCAACGATGAAAGAAATTGGAGAGGAGTGGAAGTGTATGGCGGCCTAAAAGTCGGTCAGGCAACAAGTCAGTTCAGTTGCTTTGTCTGCATTGAAGTCGTCAAAACTACAACGAAAGCAGAGGAAGCTCCTCGGCCGAAGTCCGCGTTCGAGGTGAAGAAAATTTTCTTCTTTTTTCATTTTCTGATTCGGATAATTTGCTTGCACACACAGTGCAATGTTTTCTTAGTTATTGTCGTAAAGTAGTGATATGTACATTCCCACTTTGACTTGTACTGAAAATGGTGTTCATGCTGTACCTTGAATGCAGTGTTTCTGACTGAAGGTACTTCATCATGCTACATGTACTAGAGCTTGTCTGAAATGGTTATACCTGTGACAGTAATACAGTACGAGATGTGTACATCAACATGTGCCTCCTACAAATAAAGACTTCTTGTTTTTTTTTTATACACTCTGTTCTGTGGTTCAATTCGTAATACCAGCTTCGTAGGATTTTTTTTTTTGGCAGGATTTTTTTTTTTTCGCCCTCTCGCATTAGTTTTGGGGTCTCCAGAGGATGTCATCCATAAAATTAAATCAGTGTGGCCTAATGTAATGCACATATTACAGTGATTCTCCATGTATATATTTCTTACTTTCTATTTTCTAGGTGTGACTCCCACGAGTAAAGATTCAAATTACAAACCATCTTTTTTATCAGATATTGAGCTGAAACATTTGATTCTTGAGGTGAGTGGATAAACACCCTTTCATCCTACACTAGTTGATGAACTTCCATTTGAGTGATTAAACATCCACTTCCTCATCATGAGTTGATGACCCTTCAAGTATGTAAATAAACACCCCCTCATTCCACATGAGTTTAATAATGACCCTCTTGAGTATGTGAATAAACACCCCCTCATTCCACATGAGTTTAATAATGACCCTCTTGAGTATGTAAATAAACACCCCCTCATTCCACATGAGTTTAATAATGACCCTCTTGAGTATGTGAATAAACACCCTCTCATCCCACACACACTAGTTGAGGACCTCCAATGTGAGTGAATAAACACCACCTAATCCCACACACACTAGTTGAGGATCTCCAATGTGAGTGAATAAACACCCTCTCATCCCACACACACTAGTTGAGGATCTCCAATGTGAGTGAATAAA